ACCTTAAAAAACAGACGCCCGTGTCATTTACTTACTGACACCAGTCAGACTACCTCTGATCTTGCCTTACTTTTAAACTTAGGTTCTGCAGAAGATCAGTGATGTGATTCCACATAAATATTAATCTCAATAAAACAAAGCTTTAACTTTAGACTCCAGGATATATATTTCTTACTATTATAAAAAGTGAGTGAGAGAGGGCCACCTGCACGGCCCCTCATTCATTGGGAAGGAAGGCCTAGAATAGGCCACTGGACATTTCATGAAAAGAAAAGCAAATGCTTCCAAGTAATAAAAACAAAGATGCATTTATGAACAAAGAGGAAGTAGAAACTCACCTGATCTGTACTTTTAGATGTGCAACAACAATTTTCCCCTCCTGCTCAGGATACTTCTTGGGGGAGAAAGGCAGGACTGGGGAAGAAGGAAATCATGAGACCTTCTTAAGGCCTTTCTTAGAGCACAGAGAGACGGAGAAGTCCCCTCCAGGGCCACATCAGCTCCGACCGCACACATATGACCAGATGAGACAGGGAGGCTGGAACCTGTCTCTGAAATCACAGCCGATTCCTAGAATCAGAGATACGGGAAAGCTGTGGTTCTGAAAAATGTAGCAGCACCCACAGCGCGTCCAAGTAGGAACCCCTCCCACCATTTCGAGCCAGGAGTTTGTCTTGGAGACACTTTTAGCTCTAAAAGCCCCATACCAAGCCCAGGACTGTGTCTTCTTGCTTTCTGAGAATCTTCATTCTAGGGTTCAATATCTGACTTCCTCTTGGGAAAGTCTGTACAGACACCCGGGCTGTGAGGGAAGGAAGGGGAAAGCAGCAGGGGCGTGGGTCAGTCACACACACCGCTGAGCCAAGCACCAGTATCAGAATGACAACCGCGCCCACCGACAGGAGGCCCAACTTGGTTCGGGAAAGCGAGGGAGCGCGCGCTCACACACCACACACACACACACACACACACACACACACACACACACACACACACACACACACACACACAACCCCACACCTGTGTCCAGGGCCCAGGGCAGCGGGACGGGGATTCTGACACCCACAGGCAGTCTCTCATTCCTCACGGCATCTTGAGGGTCCCTGTGCCAGATTGAGACCCATCCTTCCTCTTCTCGGGGGCAGGATGGGACCCCAGCACAAGGGCGGGTGTAGGGGGCAGACCTGCCGTATCGGTCGGAAGGGCAGTGGCAGGACCAAGGGGCGTGGGGTAGGAAGCAGGCTAGCCACAGTGGCCTGGAGACAGAGGTCGTGCGGAGCCCACCACGACAGCAGAATGCTGAGGGTGGGCGTGAGGGTCCCCCGCGGTGGCTGAAACACCCAGTACGCACGGCTAGAGGCCCTCCAGGTGGAAGTTTACACCACCCCCTGGGGCTTCTGGGAAATGTAGTCCACAGCCGGAAGCCGGTGGGCTGGGCTCTGAGTGCGCAGGCGCAGGCACGCTCGGGACCGAGCGACTCTAGTCCCGGAGCCGGGGACCCGCGCCCTCGCGAGGTAAGCTGAGAGAACTCACAGCGGGGACCTGTCCAGGCTGTGCGAGCCTCGACGGACCTCCAGAGTCTTGACCGCCGAGTGCGTCCGTGGGTGACGTCTTGAGGCCGAGCACGTGCGAGGCGGATTCTGTCAGATTCTTCCCTCGGGATAGTCCCCTCGCGTGCTTCACAGGCGTGTGGCCCTTTGTACCCGGCCTCATGAGCGTGTCTGTGTGTGTGCACCTGTCTGCACGCGC